GCAGTGTGGTGTCTGTGTCAGATGAGAGCTGAAGATGACCTGGATCAGCTGGCAGCCAGAAGCAGACAGGTCCGGTCCTGGATTCGCTCCCCTCCAATGCAGAAGCATTTTATATTTAAGGTGAAGCTAAATTATGTCAGTCAGCCAACCTGTTCAGCTTCACAGTGTGTGTGTATGTGTGTGTGGACCTGAATGCCATGTAGTTTATATGGACATTGGTTTGTCAGGATAGTCTCATGTTATAGTTTTCAGTTGGTAAGCTCAGTGTGTGTGTATGTGTGTGTGTTTTATGGTCAGCTGCCCCAGTGTGATTCAGGAGGACCATATTGTATACGGAGACCTTGCATTATTGAATTGATGTAAACATCTGTTTGGATTCTTGTGACCTTGTAATTATTGGTTTGACCTCTGATAAATGTTGACTTGGCATCCCAGAACAAATTGGGAGAATAACATTTTAAATGTCGTCATAGTTAAAAATATAAAGATTTTGTCCTCTTTACAATTTTACTGCACAATATTTCTAATTCAACAGTTTAAAAGTTTCCAGAAAAAGTTTTTTTTTAATGACTGGAACCCTCTTAGGATCTTTTTTTTTTCTCCATTTATTACCTAATATATATATATACATGTTTATGTTTAATTTATTCTTTACAGTGTCAAAAACTTGACCTGATTTAAACAACAATATCCTCTTTGGAGAAGTGTACTGAGTGTTTTGCACCTTGCTCTTCATTCCTATCAATGCACAGGTGAGAAATTTAGCTAATTTGTACCGTAAATTTAAAAAAGGTTAGGATGTGTGTCTGTGTTGATCTGTCAAAAATGAATAAATTACATTTTCAGAATTACGAGGCTATAGATTACAATACAATTTATGTCATCATGGTGATTTTGGAAGCAGTGGAAGATTTCAAATTACCTTAAGACCTTTACCTTTAATATTTATTTTAAAACAAACATGAATTTCAATCCAGAAATTTCAACTTGAACATTTTTTTTAAATCAATGTCGATCTATATTTAACTTTTTTAAAAATCTTCTTTAATCTTAAAAGAAGAAGGTATAATATTTTATTTAAGAAGAAAATAAACCATTATTTGGATCTTTTTTATCTGCTGTGTTTTTTACATAATTTTTTTTTTTCATAAGTTGTTTAAAAGTCTGGCATTCGTACAAATGACGATGAATCCCAGGTGAATATCCACATAAGTTTTTTTTGAGTTCTTGCTTTGCTTTCTCCATTACACCATAAATTATGTTTCTCACTATTTCAGGCAAAAGAACTTTTTAAATATTCCATGGCTCACTCCTCATCAGATGACGACAACACATCACCTTCCAAACAATGTGAAATGTCAGATGATGACCATGAGTCTGATATGGACTACATACCAAATTCAGAATCTGCAGAAACTGATGAAGACCTAAGTCTAACATCAGATGCTAACATCTAAATGTTAGCATCCCCTTTCAGCCCATCAAGTCTAAAGTTGGACAAATTCAAGGAAACCCAACAATACCCGATCTCACGTCATTCTTGCCAGACTCAAGTTCCGTGGTTGAACCTAGCACATCAAATATCTGGCCTCCTTTTCACACAGATGATATGGGTGATGACACACTTGAAACATTCAGCCCAGCCAAGTCTACCAAAGACTTGGACAATAAACCAAAATAAGCCTCACAAACAGGAATCCTCACAGCATATTATGGGTGTTAAAACCTACTGCTTTATAACCACAGAGCAAAATTTCACGCCATTTAAAAACACGATACACATCCTGAAATTGCTTATGCTTTTTCCCTTCTGGAGGACTCAAAAGAGCGCAAAGTTCTAGAAAAATATGAGAAACCAGGGAAACTTCAAACATAACTGAGGTTATGTTTGGGAAGTGGGAAAGGATTGTCGAAAGGTAAGAGAAATAGCAAAAACTGAAATGTTTATTTATTGTATGTTCTGCCAAGATATGTATGTTTGAAAGGAACTGTGGAGAAATTCTATTTTTTCGTGGTTTTATTTTCATCATTAGGACTTCTCTAGCATAAATATGAAGATACTGTCATAAATTATGAGAAAAGTCCTTTTTTATGGGCTTTCCTTAAGGCAACTCAAGCTGAAATGAACTTCACTGGGATCTGCTGTCTCAATGCACACACTTTTCATGAGCCTCAGCATAAAAGACTTTATTCAAATGACATTCATTTACTGTCTCATAAAAATGGGGAGATTAAACCAGTAACTTAGAATGCGACAAGATGCACATAAAGCTGTCGGATAAGGGAGTCGACAAACGGGTGGATGTGTGTCGACGGAGCACAGCACGTCTTCGTTACAATTGTCAGTGATTTCTGGCAACCAGGGTTTTTTTGTGCACATGAAAGCTGGAAGCTGGAAAATCCTCAAGTTGCTTCTTGATCACTCATCTGAAAAAAATCCTTTTACCATCCTTGTAGCCATTAGCATCGTTGGTCCCACCGGAAGACAAGCCAGAGAGGAAAATCACAGAAAAAGCAAAAGGTCGCTCGCTGTTTTCTGTTACCGCTTCTATTTTAAATCCTGTGCACCATAACAGAAACAATCCGTGCCAAATCCCCACAGCAGGAGACAAACCGCTCTGTCTGCTTCTTATTGTTTCTGGAGACATGCTGTAGGATTCTGCTTCCTGGATCTGAAACAAAATTTCAAACAAATCTTCAACATCCTATATTTTGCCTTACTGTTCAATTTTGCATAAAATAAAACTATTTTTAGGACTTGACTTTATTATTTCCCGAGCAACCAGCTCTTGAGACAGTTTCTTTCATACAAACAAGTGAAGGCCATTTTTGTTTTGATTCTTAACTTTAAGTCAGAAAAAGGTCAAGAATCACTCAGTGAAACCTGTATTGATTGTTTACTGAGCTTCTCAGTTACAGAGCTTTCATGTAGATGTGTGGGGGAGCGAAGGAGGAGGGGACAGACTCAGCAGCCAAATGCTTTAAACACATGAACAGAAAACTAGAACTCTCTCACTCATCTGTCATCCAAAGTGCATCTTGACACCTAACAAAGACCCAGGCTGTACAGTGAGCCCTGAAGTAAGACTGTCCACATACACGTGCACACACGCAAGGGATAACCAAAGCTTTTCTGAAGAAGTGTGTTTAGTCTTTTATACAGTTCATAAAAGACTAAACACACAGACATCCTTGTATGTCTGTGCCAGTAACAGATCTAAAACTATTTAAGCACAGTACCAGAGAGTTATTATGGTGGTAACCAGTGGTGGGCACTACTAACTAAGAAGCTAGTTGCACTAACTCTAAAGCACTAATGTAGAACATTAGTTCCAGTAACACTGAAACTAATACTAAATGCTCTAAATTTAACCATGTCTATACCCTGTGTCAATGACACAACATGTGTCACAACATAATATATATTCTTATGTCAACCAGTAATTAAAATGATTTTTTTCCCAAGTGATAGTTTTGTCTTCTTATAGTGGCACCATGACCATTACTTGGATAATCTCTCCTGTCAGATCAGTTTGAGCTCACAGACCAGGACAGTCATTAACAGCAATGTTAGAGAACAAACAACCTGTTACCATCAAACTTTATACTTTCAGTTCAGGATATACATGTTGGAAAATATTATATAGCAGAAAATAATCAGATTATTACTGCATCTTTTTTTAAAAAAGGCAATTAGCATTTTCAGACTGAAAATAAACCTTCCACTTTCTACTATCATTTGCCCTGTGAGTTCAGAACTACCGTATAAACCAACAGTGAGGCATATTTTGTGATTCAAACTTTGACAGAAAACTTTTCAAACTAAAACTGCAATCTTGATGAAAACTGGAAACACATCTAATGCTCCAATTAAAGATGGAACAAAAATCCCATCTTTAATTGGAGCAAGCAGCCTCAATTCAATGACTAATAGTCATTTTGAGCCATGTTACATTAAAATGTTTGTATTTTACATGTAGATATAACTTCATTCATCTTTTCATTCAAAGACGAATGAAAAGATCTTAAGACTAAAAAAGTCTAACTTCAATTAATTAAAATACTTTTGTAGAAAGTCAACACATCGCCTCTTGCATAGAGTTAGTCAGACAAAACTGACTGAAGAAAACCATCCTGGCATCATACAGGGTGAGCCACAATCTGCCTCTTCTTATAAACATATGAAGAGATTATAACATTTTCAGGTAACACTTTATTTGAAGGGGTGTGCATAAGACTGACATGACACTGTCATGAACATGACATAACACCTGTCATGAGCATAAAGAAGTCTTTATGAATGTTTATGAAAGTTGTCATGAAGTGGCATTCGGTAAATAATGACACTTTTAATGCAAAGTTGCTCTAAAACTTGTATTAAACGTCCATTAAAAGTGCCAACTTTGCATGATTTTGTAAATTATGATAACTTAATGCAAAGTTGGCATTTTAATGGACTTTCAATGTAGTTATTGTAGTTCTGCAGAGATGATGGAGGGACTCGGGCAACCAGTGGGTAACAATCCACGGTGTCACGAAGGGGAAATAATCCTGAAGACCAGGTCTTGGGCTTCACAAGGGATTTTCCAGGGCGTCACAAGTGAACACCTGAGAAAGAGGCAACAAGAACAAATTACTAGGAGAATCTTCAGAGGGAAAACACAGAGAACTAGCTCAGAATGGCTCAGAGTATCAGAAACTGGCAAACATTCAGGTGTTGAAGTGCTGGTAGACTGTTCCTCATATATTCCAGGATGACTGTCTTGTCACATGTGCGCTGACTGAGTCAGCGGGCACACCCTCCACAGAGTGCAGCCTTCAGTCACCATCTACTGGATGAAGGGGGAAGCAGCAGGCAAACAGAGAAAACCCCCCACAAAGAAACAAAAACCCTGGTTCTCAACAAAAATACAACAACTTCACTCTGTGCAACTTGTTTTTAGTGAAAATAAACGGTTAATTAGTCATGAGAGCGAGTACCCTACTGTTCATCTCAGAAGCAATGCAACAGATTAGAGGTGAGGCAACTGAGTCATTTGACATTTAAGGGATTTTGCCCTTGGCTGTGCTCATTCTCTCGTGCTACTGTGCAAATATAACTGCAAGACATCATTTGCAAATGGATGTGTGAAATACAGGAAACTAACTGGTGAGAAGCTGCTTATCACTACTCAGAATGTGTAAAAGCAAAGCAGGTGCTCAGCAGTGAAACCAGAACATACCCAGTTAGCTTATTGTTGGGTTTCAGATGATGTAGCATCGGTGTCACTCAATGCAGATGGAGGACAAGAAGTCAGTTTACTTCCGTTAATCCAACATCAAAATGCCTAAAGTCTGAGTCGTGGACAGTTGTTCCAACTGATTTAATAGAGAGAAAAATAAACATTATTTTCATGTTTCAAAGGTAGTTGGCCACAAGGGAGTTAATTTAAAAAATCTTACTGAAAAAAAGGAGAAAAGTGAATCAACAATCTACAGCTAAAAACAGGAGGAGCTGAAACTAACAATGCCAGAGTTTGCAGTGCCCGCTTTCTAACAGGTAAGGATCGCATCGTTTAAATTGAATTTTCAGATGTTTTATTGGACACAGTTACTTAGAAGGACAATCATTCATATGTAAGCCCCAGGCTGGTAGTCCTCAAAGAGCTAATGTTGTTAGTAGCTAGCTCAGTGCCGAGTCACGGACAGAAAATATGTTTATTTGGTGGGACTTTCATCCTAAAAAAAAAGAAAAATAATAAATAAATAAAATCAATATAACCTACCCAGCCATACAGTCACAGAGAGCTGTGAATATTGTCCCATGTGGGGGAATGACCACGAACTATATTCGTGGTCAGACATGAACATGGGGGTTTCAGTAGGTCACTGCTAATGGTTGACCTACATTGGATCTGAATCCAGTGTCCTACAACAACTCAACATTAACGTACAAATCCAGCATGAATTTGAGTTTACAGAAGCTAAATCAATTATTTACCAGGAGATCCAAGCACATAGAAATAACATGGGTTATTTTGTTGTTTGCATAGCACCGTTATCATAGACAAATTACTTAAAATAGCACAACTCACTACTCACCAGGTAGAAAAAAGTCGACAGCCATTTAATGCTTCTTTTGATCCTAAGTGCTTGACCCAACCTGAAACTAAATGATTGTATGCTCCAGGCTTTTGAAAACTTTGTTCTGGCTTGTGGTATAATATGAGGTCTGCACCTCCAGATGGCTAGTTATGTGGATCGACTCGACACCAAGTAAATCCTCAAGATTATAAGCAAAATTGTTTTTACCAAGATAATATGGATCATATCCTAAACATACACATATTTTTTTGAGATACCTCGTCTGTTCCAGCCCATTTAAGGCGTTATCGTACTCTCTGTGATCCATTTTGCTCTGTTTTGAACCAGAGAAATCCACGTGTCTGGAGCTCAGCAATAACAAGGTAATAGCTGGCTAGGTTGTAAACTTTATTAAAATTTCAGGCCCAAAGAAAGAGAACAGAGGGTTGATGGATGTAAGTTAATGTCAGTGGATGGAATTAGAATTTTTGAAAGACAGATTGAAGCTAAGTGTAACATATAAATTAATGTGTAGATCTTTATCCTACTAGCCAAGAAACTGTGCAAAGGTAAGCTAGAGGCAAAATAACATTTCAAGCAAATCAAAGAAAAGGTTTCCAGAAGACTCAATTTGAGTAAAAAGGTTCGTTGGTCTGACGAGATCAAAACGGAACTTTTTGGTCACCAGACAAAACACTAAGTTTGACGGAAACCAAACACTGCACATCACTACAAACACATCATACTCATTGTAAAAACAGAATGAAGCATATGTACTGTAGGTGTACAAGTCAATTCAAACAAGGTCACATCAGTCAATCAAGTCAATATACTGAAAGTGTTAATAAATAGATGTGACACTTTGGGGGCAATGGTAGTGACGGTGTTAGCCCTAAAATCAGTGGGTTGCCAGTTCGATCGCCACTCCGTCATTGTGTCCTTGGGCCAAAGACTTCACCCACGTTGGATGTTGGTGTCAAATAGGTGTTGATAAGGCCCAGTGGTTATAAATAGAGACTGGTGTCTAATAGGGAGGTGGCTATAAAAGACAAATAAAAAAATTAGTCTGCTCTTAGAAGACAGACTCCCAGGTCTTCTGGTCTGATGTGAATCGTGGTATGATCTGAATCATCGCTCCTGATGAATCAAATGGCTGAATTACCACTTCAGTCAACGTTTCTAGAGTCTTGTAAATTAACTTTTTTTTCCTTTTGACTCAGGTGTGTTGAAGCAGAGACATGGCTAAAAGTTGCCAATGCTAACCACAGTACTCATTAACATATGGTTGTCAGATTTCTGCTAAATAACCTTTTCTTTGCTTTGTAATTAAGTAGCGTTCATGGCACAAAGACTAGAAAAATATTTGACTATCATTCTTAAAGTAAAATCAGAATCAGCTAAAATCAGTATTGGCAGTTCAGCAAACCCTGATGGGTGCATCACTTTCCAGTCATTGCTTCTGGAAACAGGAAGAGTGGATCACGACAGGTGGTAAGTAAGAACTCGGTAAACCAGCGAGGAAACAGGTGGTCAGGGAAGAACTGCATCATCCTTACTCACATTTTTGCATCTTATAAATATTGATAAATTAATAGCTTCTTCCATCTGGTGTGTGTGTTCTAGGCTGTTGCTCTGGTACAAGGATATCCGTTTCATTCCTGCCTGGAGGTGTTGAACAATCTCCTCACTGCTGCTTCCCCCTTTTTACCTCCCATCCAACAAACTATGTGACTGAGCAACGCTGCTAACTTGCAACATTCACTCACTGATCCTTTCAAAAAAAAAAAAAAAAGAATTTACCGAGTGTTCCTCTCTGTGATCCTGAACTAACTTGTGTAAACCCAGCCAAAAAAAAGAGGATAGGAAAGGGAAATTCAGTCGACTATTTTCACAGGATGTTGACATCCCAGGAGCAGACGCTTCTGTCACTGTAATAGCTTGTTAATTAGAGTATGGGGCGCGACAAGACAGAGAGAAGAAAGGCTCTTTTCGGGTGCCTCCTGCTGTGCTTCAAATGTGTAATGCAGCGCAGCTGGAGTCATCACGCCCACTTTCAACTGCCCTGTCTCTCTCCTTCTGCTTTGATTTTCCTCTCCCTAGAAAAGGCTTCTTTCAGCTGACAAGATTGGCTTGTTGTGTCTCTACAAGCTCAGAGTAGAATATCTGCGCTAAGCTCCGACTTCCGAGGTCATTTTGCACATTAATCTACCAAAATCTCCTACAAGAGAGTGCCTCCATGCCTTTGAAACGATCTGCAACCGACACTGCCTCTGTGTGTTAAGAAAATAAATCAGCCTTGTGATAAAAGCAAAGAAGTAATTAAATGGGCTAATAGACCTTATTAGCTATTCATCAGCTGCAACTGCATTCAAACTTCTCCCTGAGGTGCAGTGTTCCTCTCCAACAGGAAAAGTCTTTGAAACAGGTAGCACGGCATCTTTCTGAATACCAAACAGCTCAGACTGTGTGTTTTTTTTTTCCTTCTTTCCCCCCCCCCACCCCCCTCCACAACACTCCTGCTCATCCATGTGAATCATTTGACAACAGAGCAGCCATTTTTCATGGTCGGCTAATTCAGCACAATGCCTGTGAGGGAGGCAGACAAGGAGAGCTGCAGTTAGAATGTCACGGGTATTTGAGAAAGGTTAGACAGAAAGGAGAGAGTTTTGTGATCACATGCGCCATTCATCACTTTTCTGCCGCCCAGTACTTATGTGGAGGTCTGTTTCCCTCCAAGTGGAGGTGTGTGTAGTCATATTTTCAAGGTGGATCTGCTTTTTCTTGTTGTTTCTCTTACTTAAAATGCCTCATGATGTTTTCCATGTTTCATACCATCTCCCAACAGTTTAAAGTATCCTGTTCTAAGATCTGCTGTCTACAGAAAGGAAATGTGGTTATAGCTAATGATATTTATCTTATTATCTAATGTCTGCCATATCATCTATCGCTTAGGAAGTTATTTTTAGTTATGTTGCTTTGATCAAAGGATTGTAAGTTGTTGTATTTCAAAGGGGTCAGTATGCCAAAATGAGGATTAGAATTACAAGTAAAGACAATAAGGTATGGCAATTAGTAGTTCCTCTGCTGTTATTAGCACAGACAGGTTGGTGTTAGCATTGAATAGGCAAACAACTAGAATGCTTAGGCTGGTCACCCACTGGATTATCTTCTTACTTTCCTGGCTGGTAAACTGTGAATCATACTTTCTTTATTGGAAGAAAACTTTATCAAGACGAATGGTTAGCATGTTGTTTTGATAGTTTACTATAACCCAATATGGCACCATGTGTCAATATTCTGTATAATATGGAGCTAAAGTATCTGACTGCAGCTTGGCTAAAGATTGATTCCACCTAATTGTTCAATACTTTGACAAATCTCGGTAACATTTTATTTGAAGGGGGTTGAATAAGACTGTCATGACACTTTCATAAACATAACACGTGAAATGAACATGAATAAGCCTTCCTGAATATTTATGACTGTTGTCATAAAGCGTCATTCGGTAAATTATGACACTTTTAATACAAAGTTGACATTATCCAAAATGTCTTTATGACAACTTGACATTAACCAAGAAATCATTACTGTTTAAACTTTACCTTTAATAACATAAAATTACCTGATTTTTAAAGTGCAATCAGTAATACTTTTATAACAAATTTATATCAGTAATGATTTCTTGGTTAATGTCAAGTTGTCATAACAAAGACATTTTGAATAATGTCAACTTTGTATTAAAAGTGTCATAATTTACTGAATGACTCTTTATGACAACAGTCATAAATATTCATGAAGGCTTTTTCATGTTCATGACAGGTGTTTATGTCAGTCTTATTCACCCCCCTTCAAATAAAGTGTTACCCAAATCTCTAATTAGCTGTAATTTTAAGACTTCAATACTCCGACTTTTCAAACATGGACTAGATTCTTCACTAAAAGCTGAATATTTAAAACCTAGTTTGTGATTTGTAAGACCTTTATTTGATTCATCTTCATATCTCCAAACTTTACAACTTTCATACATATGATGAGAGGGAAGACCAGAGAAAGGCCACATAGTTGATTTGATCAATACTCTTCAAAGGTTATGCTTGCTACATGAGCAGTACATGACAAAATAATTTTTTGTGTGGGCATTTGTTGTTAATTTGAACTTTCTGCTATATTAGGTTAGTTTTTACAGGCATGTCTGAACAAAATGAATGCTTTATATCAGGTCCCTTTTTAGTTGAACTACAAAGTCTACATAAGTGGCACCTGGTTGACAGCCACCACTAGAAGGTGAAGCTTCCAGCAATTATTTTCGGTATAGTTCTGTTTTTAAGTATTATCCCTTATAAAAGTCAGAAAAAAAAATATCCTGTCTTGGATAGATTTTGGACAGATGTCAGTTCCAGACTGCTGGATTCTGAGAACTGACATCTGTCAAATGCTTTTATCAGCCTTGGTGCTTCCCATCTTCCTGCAACAGACAGAGCATCCATACTAAAAGCTGAATAACATTGAAACCTACATGTGGACTTCATTTTGAGTCAAGTGCTTTAGCCAGAACAACTAAGGTATTACCTTAGTTGAAGATAGCATTCAACTAAGCTGAATGCTACCATACATCTTAAGGTAGCATTCAGCAGCCTCAGCTAACTGAGGCTGCTCAGTTAGCTGAGCAGCTAACTGAGCAGTTAGCTCAGTTAGCTGAGCTAACTGCTCAGCTAACTGAGCTAAATGAGCAGTTAGCTCATTTGCCTATTTGTGTACACAGCACACAAATAGGCAAATGTGATTGTAACCAGCATGCAACTGGGATAGAAGTGGAGTTTATATTACCAGAATCCAAGTTTCTAAAGCCTACAGTGCCCTCTTTGGGACATGGTTCAGAAAACCCTTCAAACAGAATATTCAGAGTGTGAAGTCATGGATGGGGATATATTTGCATTCGGAAGGCAAACATGTGTAGAGTGCTAAATGTGAACTTTACGCCTTTTTTGGTGTAAATTAGAGGCTTTGACACAGACTCTTTATCTTTGGAAAATCTACCTACAAAAGCAGCATCTTCATTTATTCACCTTTTGAAAAAGATTCTACAAAAGCAAAAGTAACATTTAGAAGATGGCAAAGGAAAGCCTTGAGAGAATCAAGACATGCAGAAGGAGATAATTACAGCTCTCCAAGTCCATTTCAAGGACTAATCTTTGTTCCTCAAATCAAACATAAAAGGCAATTCTCTATGTTAATGAGCTCAATCACGCCTCCACCAGGCCTCAATTATTCATTTGTGCCAAGATCGTCAGACATCCATAATGAATAACATCCAGAGTGAATTATTTACAGAGTCATCCTTTGTGGCGCAGCGAATGACACTGACTCACACGGCGCGTTTCACGGCCTGTTGTACCCACGTGTGTGTGACAGGGTTGGGGTGTCCGTCACGCGGAATGTTTCAAATGAAATGAAGTGTTGGGACTCCAAACAAAGGAGCTAGGATAGACATAAAGTCACTCAGTCACATCAAAGAATGTTCACTACTGGTTCCCCATCGGCGTGAGGTGGATACGTGCACGCTGAAAAATGAAGGGCGGATGGCGGGGAGCGTCCCATAAAAAAGAGGTTGCAAACCACAACGCGGTGCCTACTTCGATTTCCATGTTTGGTGAATTTGCTGCATGTCTACACCTCCTCCCCTTCCTGTCTGATTACTATGAAAAAATGCCACTAGTGCTGAAAAAATGCTTTTAAAAATGAACCGTGCGAAATCACAGGCGCTGGAAATTCTCTCTGGCCTGCTGGGAACTGGCATGTAGGAAATACCTCCATATTGACTGGGGGTTGGAGTTTTGCAGTGGACTTTTAATAAATTTCTGGCAGTCTAGTGACTTCCCACTTTGGCAGAAGGTCTACATTTGGTGAGTAATGTAAACTGTGTTCCTACAGACTGAGTGGATACATTTGTCAAACAAACAAACCCAAATTCAGAGGTCATGGCATGAAGGGAAACACTCACTTTGTATTTATGACTACATAGAGGAGCAATTTTATTTTATATACATACACTGCATCTGGAAGGTATTCACTTTTTCTACATTTTATGTTACAGCCTTATTCCAAATTGTATTGAATTAGACTCTTTCCACAAATTTCTACATACAAACACCCCACTATGACAATTTCAGTGTTATGCCAATTTATTAAAAATAGAAACCCAAAATTTCAGATTTACATATCACATTGGACTTTTTGAATACTTTCTGAATGCATACTTACTTGTTATTTTATTAAAGTTGTTTGCTTCTCTGGAAATTATTAAAGTACAATATTAAATTAGACTTAAGAATGTAATTGTCTGACAGAAGATGCAAAGGTGAACTATTCGGGTTTGACCAGTCAGAGTAGTGTATAAAAATTTTACTTTTGGTTGGTGTTTAAAAAGACACCAAAAGAAAATAGTTAAGTTTTGTGCTTCTCTACCTGAAAGCCTTAATATTGTGCAGACTAAGTGCAGCATTTAATTTTATCCAAAAGATGGCAGCAGAGTGTGTTGATGAGTCCTTTTAGTAGAGCTGGCAACCGGAGTTCTGATTGGCATGAGGAATCTGAGTGAAATGATGCACAAACACCAGCTGTGAGGTAGGAGGAAGAAACTTGTGGGATTGTGTTTGCTGTGTAGAGAGACCAAATAGGTCTTAATCTGTAAGTTCAAATTGTGATACACAAACTGATGAGTGTATTCCATGTATTTGCATCTCAAAGATGGCATTTTGTTGAAATCTTTAGTGATGGACAATGATCACTAAAGATTTGTGAAAATCTTTAAGATTATTGTTGAAATTTTAGTGATGGACAATTATCTCTCTTTTGTTTGATTGCAGGTGTATATGAGACCATCATTCTTTTATAAACAAGAGAGTGATGGTCTCTTGTGTATACTAAAGTCATGAACACAATGATATTAAAAGTTTTAAATGAACATCATTTTACCATCTTGTAAATGAGGCTCAGTGAAATTTGATCAGGTTGTTTAGTTGTTTAGTTCAGGTTGTTTAGTTCAAAATGGCAGCCTGTGAACAAATGGCAGCCAGTTTGTTGGCGACCTTTCTGGTCGCCAACAAACTGGGTCATAATTATGTTCAAACTAACCAACTTTTGTCCTTAAACACAGCATGGTAGTTAAACCACTGCCCCCAGCAAAACACCATTTTTTAACACTAGTTTTTCCCCACAAAAATGTCCTATAACATTATTTTAAAAAACTTTTGAGTTTATTAACTAATCAGAAAATAATACAATAGAACTGGTCACCTTGCATGCGCTTTACCTTCAGTCAGAAATTCACCTTCCGGGGATAAAAACAACAAATGACAAATCCAGTATAGTTGTGTAATCTCCAGAATTTCACCATAATTACTAACTTTCATCAGCAGTCACATTTTTCATCAACCTCACACTTAAATGATGAGATTGTTGAGTTGAAAGTAATTGAAATTCCATGCTTATCGAATAATCCTATAATCTCTCTTTATGAAGCTTTAAGTCTGCACATTTATTGGTGAAGATGAACTCATATCTTCTTCTAAATAGTTGGAAAGCTAAAAATGGGCTCATCAAAGGAGAATTTATTGATAGTGGTACAAGAGGACAGTAATTCATCCAAGCTTTGTTGAAACTCCATGCATTATAAAAGGTTTCTGATCCTAAAAAACTCCATGTAGAAGTGTAAAAGCAAGTCCACAGAGATGCATGTACAAACAGATTAAGCCCCTTGATTCTTTCACCAATCCACTGAACAAATAAAAGCAACTGGTATAAAACAATCAATACCACATTTAAAAACAAAAAGGTCCCTCCAAATGAACATGTGAAGCTTTAAATGTTTTACGACCTGCATATATTAATTATTCACTGATGTACAGAATGCCATGACGGCGAGCCAAAACTGTGCCAGCAGGCTGAAGTGCCCAGTAATGGAGGTCTGGTATGTGTCATAGTCTTGCTCCTGCAAACCCATCTGCATAATACTACATCCACTCTCTAATATTTCATATGACTGTGCTGTAATGCACAGTCGTTACAGAAGAGTTGGCTTCTCCTGCACCCCCTTCAGTCTAATCATAACTGTTCTTCACCAGGTAATGATTTTTTTGTTTCCAAAGGAGGAGTTGCTAGTTTGATGAATGTAGCGAACCACAAATGACAAAGGAAACAGCCAGTACGTGGGAGGGGAAGACTGGCTGTGTGCAATGGTGTCTGTTCAATTTTTTTTCTCTTCACATTGCCTCAGGAGATGAGCTTAAAGCAACAAAATCAAAAACTTCACTTCAACATTTTCATGCAACACTAAAAGAGCTCCACCAACATCAAATTTAAAATTTCTTCTTAATTTCAAAGAGAATGTAACATTTTAATTCAACCACAATCCTATACACAGCGAAGACAAGTGATAGATTACCACACGTTTTATTAGAAATAATGAGATGGTGTTGAAGGGGTTCCACATGGTGTGGTCACACTGGTGGGTCAGGAATGGGGAATCCATAGGGGCCGAGATTCCTGCCTTGGGGGGTTGGGTGAGTGGAAAATAGATGGACTTGGGCTGTCAGGGGATTCACAGATGACAGAGATAATTATTCACTAACCAGAGGCTCAGTAGTCAAAACGGTCCAGGGTCAGGCACAGGAGGGTCTCAGGCAAGGAAAATCCAATATGACTGGAGCCAGGGTCAGAGGCAGGCAAGGTTCAGCAACAGGAGGTCAGAAACTCTTCTCAAAGCAGTCAGGACTAGGCAAAAGCAGTGGTCAAAAACAGGCAGGATCAGAAAACCAGAAACTCCTTGAACATGAATCAGGGTTTGGAAGCTGTGACAGGGCAACAGACAATCTCGCACTGAGCAGGTGATGAGCAGCTGTTTAAATAAGGAGCAGCACAGTGAAGGTGAGGATAATGAGTAGTCAGTCTGAGGGAGGAACAGTAAGCAGCACAATTCAGGTAGAGCTGAAATCATGAGAGAAAATAGAGTCTGAATTGATTTTTTTTTTAGTTTTAATAAACTTCTTTTACCTTGACTAGGATATGTTCTAGGTGTTTAAGGCTTATTCCTGTCTTGACTCAGTCATTAGGCGAAAAGGATATTTTTAATCTGTGGGGTTCCTCAAGGGTCATTCACAGGCCCACTGCTTCTTCATCTGGACATGTTGCCTTACAGGTCCTTTTTAAAGTATAACATCTCCTTCCACTGTTTTGCAGATGACATCTGGATTTATTTACTACACTTATTCAATGAAATCACCTCTAAACTGCACAGAACATCTCAAAAATAGACATAGCCTTATCAAATTGCAAAATAAATAATAGATTTAGATTTTTTTAAATAAACTTCTCTCACATGTTTTGTGTCATTTGTCTTACACAATTCATAAAGTCTAATCATATTACCTCACAGGGGGAAATGAGACTAAAAAACTACAATTATTTTTTTTGTCACTATAGACATAGAGGTTAAACAAACAAAGCATTATCAAATGTTATTTCTGCAAATAAACCTGTAACCAGCTTTGTTTCCTAGTACCATAGGCTTGTGATTGGTCAGAAATCAAACGGCATTAATGGAGACATTAACATTCAAGCAGGAACAAATGAATGGTAACATTTCTCATTTCCATTAACTGATGAGTAGATCTATAAAGTGTCTGCCTGGTGTTTCCACGGCTTCCCATCCACCTTCATCTTCCTAACAGTCTCTCTCTGTTTATAAATGCAGAATATTAAATGAGGTTAACCACTCTACCAAATGAACCGGTGAAGTCACCTGCTTCTGCTTTTTCTTTAGGCAAACAAGTTCAGCCATGGCTCGCCCGGGGTCAAGGTTAAAAAGCCAAAATGAGATTGTGGGATCTCATTAGGCGCTATTGACATCTCACATCATTCTATTAGGAGTCACTCTAATCAGCAGGGAAATGACCCACAGGATGACCCTGGGATGTACGCTGGCAGAGCAACTAATCATCAATTACAGGAAGAACAATCTGCAAACTGAGGAATTAATGCTTTGAAATTACAATGTCACAAATGTTCCATTAGGGGCAACAGACAAAGGAGTTTGTTTTTTATGAAAGGGGGATGAAAAAAAATAGTTTTTTTTACAACTGACATCATCACATATATCTTTTTTGACTAAAGTCCGAGAGGTTAAAGTCCTTGTCCAAACGGCGTTTGACTAAAGTCAAAAGGGTTGGAGACAGCTTTTTATTTCTCTTTCTCTCTGTTTGCGTTTTAATTATGTTTTTGTTTTTTTACTCTTTCTCACATGCTGTTTTTATTTTAATTATGTAAAGCACTTTGAAATGCCTTGCTGCTGAAATGTGCCATACAAATAAAATTTGATTGATTGATTGATTATGTGAACAAACACAGTGACAGGAAGTTAAAATTATTTAACTTCCCTACAGACTCAGATGTTTACATTCAGGCCTGCCACCATAACAAATTTATCTAGACAATAACAAATTGACCCAGAAGTTATTGTGGTAAACATTAATATTGTTATTTTGAGACCATTTTCAAGTAATATAATGGTAGTGGCATGATAATGCAAGATCACATTGTGAAATATCAATAAACTTTAAATTCTAATGAACATTTAACACTGGAACTGGAAGACATTTTAAATATCCAAAATAAATAAAACAGAAACAACAAATAAAATGAATTATGAAGTCTGTAAATAAACTTGTCCTTCAAAAAAAAAAGAAAAGAAAGGTTAGAAGAGACAAAAGCAACAGACTGAAGATTTCATCATCCAGTCTCTTAGAAAGAGAAAAATGACAAATCATGCAAATCAAAATTATTGAGTAAGTTTTAATTTTTCATGCAATTATTTGATTTATTGCTTATTGTGACAGGCCTGTCTACATACCAGCATCTTTTATGGCATGAATGCTATATT